TACGAAAGATCAGGGAATATGGCGGGTGTGGCAAAGTTTTGTATCCCAAATAATGTCTTGATAATGCCTTGATAAATAATGTCTTGTTGGGCGTGGCAATGTCTTGCACCCAAATTGTATATCTAAACATTTCTACCGTTGTTACAAGGTTATGTATGCCTCTAAAGGTTTGGATACAAAGAAATCTTTGAATGCATCTTCTTTGCAACGGAATGTCTTTTAGCTTAAAGATAGTCAAGATACTTAAAAGAGCGGTAATCTGTGGACGAGAGATCAGGATGAATATAGCGTGTGTGGCAAATTCTTTTATCCCAAGTCAGTAAGCTTCTGCGGTGTCATCATGGCAACATGTGGCCAAATATTGTCATGAAGCAAAATGGGACATGGTCGACTAACCAGTTTCTGTTGCATTTGGCTCAATCAAATGTGCTTTCCATGGAGTTACTGGCAGTCAAACCCCGTTAGTGATGCTCTGGTTAAATTCCAGAAAACTATAATAAATAACATCAGACCGTCGACATACATTTATTCCTTTTATTGAGTTTCTTCACCAGGTCAATTTTTTTTAGATGATCCGATATTGTTGAAATGCCACATCCATCATATACCCCCTGATTTCTCCCTCACTGATCACCACTTTTTCTATTTTCACATCTTGACTATTTTTAAGCCAGAAGATGTAGAAACGGCATTCAAAGGTTTCATAGTGTCCAAAACTTTAGAATTCTATCTTAAAGACACAAATAACCTTGTTGAAATCCAACACACCTCAAAACATCAAAAACTTTCACTGGGTTTGTGTGGAACCATTTATCGAGTTTCTTCACCATGCCAATTTTTTTGAGATGATCCGATATTATTGAAATGCCACATCCATCATATTTCTTTGATCTCTCCATCACTGATCGCCACTTTTTAAAGCATCTTGACTAGTCAGAATATATTCTTCTGCAAGGAAGATGCAGAAACGGAATTCAAAGATTTCATCGTGTCCAAACCTTTAGAATTTTATCTTGAAGACACAAATAAAGTTGTAACTCGATGGCAGAAATGTATAGATGTTCAGGATTCCTATTTCGAGTAATTTAAGCAATGTTTAATTACATTTATTCAGGAATAAAAGTTGATTGTAAAATGGAACATTACTAACCAAACAACCTAATAACTTTTTTTTAGTCATTGTGCATATAGTTAGATGTTTTTGTCTTCGAAATACCGCTGACGTTTTGAAAGAAATAACAAGACAAAAACGGCACTTTTAATTTAATTAACGAATGATTTGCTTTCTTTGTGTTGGGTTTTCATATTTGTCCATTATTCTATTCTGTTTTACAACTCGAAATTGAAAAGAAGAGATTGAGGCCGAGGATCTATGTCCGTTATAATAGTAAAAGTTACCTAATAATATGATATTAAGGGTCCCGACTGTTTCTTGGATTGGAACAACCACAGGCCACTATTATGATATGATGTTGTATTAGTAGTCGCCACCCGCTCGCATCCGAGCATTGGTATCGTCATTCTCTCTCCTTATCCCCTTTCTTCCTTCTGGTGGTGGTGGCGGCGGTGGAGATGGCTGTGAAGGCCTAGCCTATTCCTGAAGAGGCCCATTCACATGGATTTGATTTTGGTGGATATCTCACGGCGACGGAAAAGGCCACATATCTTGGCCAGAAGCGGTTCCTTCGCGGCTCAAAGGGGATTCTGACAGGCGAGATCTTACAAACCTGGTTGCATCGGGCTGTCAGATGCTTGGTCTGTCAATGTCCTCCTTGGTTATGCCAACCCAACTAGTGCTGCAATCTTCCGCTAGTTTGTCTTGAGATCGTGTAGATCTCTGCCTATTCCGCCGTTGGGGGTCTTCGAAAGTTGGTTGCATCCAGTCTCGCCTCTCTACGATATTACCGCTATAGGTGGCCCTACAGGAGTTGAAACTCCAGACGGCTTCACTCTTGAGATTACTAGGACACGCAAGCCCTATACAATAACAAGGAATGACCACATATATTTTAGAGTGGATGCTCGAGTGAACAGTTCCTTATCAAAAGCATCATTTTGACTTATTATTACTTTAATGGCAATAATAGAAACGAATCAATAAATAAGAAAAGAGTAAAAGTATAAAATTATCATTAAATAAATGAGAACTTTTTTTTATTATTGTTGCTAAAATATTTGAAAGATGAATAATAAAGGAAGAAATTAACTACCGAACTAATATATGAACGGTTATACACGTCTAAAGAAATAATTCGAACATGATTAACATTTGAACCTGCCAGGCGCCATGACGAACAGTAGGACGGTTGAACTGCTGTGAATATATATTTAATTCTGATTGGTTAATAATGAAATGGCGTAAGGGAAATTATGAGGTTTGTATTTACTCAATACACCACAGTCACGTAATGAATCAATTGACGATAGTTAGGAGACCAATGTGACTTTTTGAAAGTGGGAGTGATCGTACCAAATGGCTATACATTTTGGTGAAACGGGCTGGTAAAAATTCGTATACCTAATCTGGTGCGTCTATGAATTTTATGCATTTAGCACAGAGGCATTTTTATCCAACCCCGTATACCTGCAGTGATATTAAATCAAACGAATCCATCAATTATCAACTTGACTATTGCTGATTTGATAAGTTGGGATAAGTTTTGGAACGGTTTGAATACTCCAACTTTGTAAAGTGGGTAGAATGTAAAGTCTTGGGCGTTGTAATGTTGCATCGCATTATATTTCCCCTTGAAAAAATAGCGCAAGTAATTATTTTAGCTTGACATTCCTTGTATTGCGTATTGAATAGTGCTGTCTCTTCTTTTTTTCTCTTGCAATTATTAGATAGCTAAGCTTTGTGTCATTGTCGCTATGATTGCTCTTAATGATACGTCAGCCATAATGTTTGATGAACCTGATATCCAATATTAGAAATGTATTGTTATTTATAATCTAATTGTCTAAGCTCTCGGGGTTGTGTGTAATGCTTGTGTTAATGGCTTGTGACCGCTGTATACGATAAAATTCTTTTCTTCTAATATGTGATGAAAGCTTTTTTTTATTGCCAAATATATACCCGAGGGATGTTTCGATAATTTGTCGTAATTTTGCTGTTTTAATAATCTGAGCAGAAAACAGTAAAATATGTTATTTTTTCCTTGTAAAACTCCTGCCATAACTGCTGACGAGGTACCTCGAAAGATACGCTAAAAAGGAGAATCTGAATACAGGATGTAAAAATGGCCAAAACTTAATAAAAATAAAGTTATATCGCCAAAATCTTTGTGTTACTATTAAGAGGAAAGACCAGTGTTTTTTATCTAAAAATTACAATTTTTTTAATAAAATTTATTTTTAGAAGCATCGAAGAACCATGGTTAATTTTGTGTGTGTGTGTGTGTGTGTGTGTGTGTGTGTGTGTGTGTGTGTGTGTGTGTGTGTGTGTGGTCAACGTGGGACCATATTGTAATGTATAGGAAATTTGAGCGTCTTTTTGCGGTAAAAATACATTGATTTGGAAATTCTTCCAAAAATCAAATAATACTCAGATTTTAATAATGAAACTTTCAGAACTAATTCACAACTGAATGAAAGTATTTTTAAATCTTTCTTTTTTGGAGAACTTTGGTAATTTTTTTTTTTTTTTACATGTTACCTACCATATTTAATTTTATAAGCTTTCGAGAAATTCTTTTTTTATAGCGCTTAATGTTTATATGAGAACTCCCCGGAGAATTTTAAAATTTAAAATCATCATTTACACAAAATCTAACTTTGATTTGTAAAATAAAAATGCAATAAATCTAAAGCATTATTTTATTAGAAAATCTTTTAATTTCATTTATGAAACTACGTATTGTTTGACGAAAAAACATTGTGATGAATAATAAATTGTTAATACAAGAATTGTTTCCATTACTTTTAAATTTTAATTAGAATAATTTTTAAACTTTTAAAATATTGTATTAATTTGTCGGGGTCAAGTGATATTGTGATTAAATAAAAAAATTATTTACTAATCATAAATAGAAAAGCTTGTCGCAGTGTGTCCAATGACCACTCCCACCTTTTCGTAAACAACCCCGGATATGCCTGCCGGTAGAGAAAGGTCACGACCCTTGTGTGCTAAAAATAGCAACGACATCTTTTCGAACTGACAGAAACACACAAAACTCAATTTTCGCCACTAAACAAAAATAAAAGACCTTTGATTTCGAACCGAAATTAATTTAAATACAGTCAACAAACACCGAACACACTTTTGACTGTAATTAATACGGCCCGAAATTAATTATATTCATTTACTTGTTTAGCGTCACCACTTCTCTTGTATGAACCGTCATATGTAGATGCCCGAGACTTCACAGCGATTTTTAGCCGGCCACGCCTTCGGGCTAGGTTGCGACCATGGCAAAGTCTAGTTTGGACCGTATCAGGACCTGCTAAGACCAACTTGGTACACCCATCTCCTGAAGAAGGGCGGGCTGACCCTTGATCCGGAGGATGTGGAGCGGTTTGCCAAGAGGACAATGTCAATCTTCGTGGTTGACAAAATTACCCGGAGGATCTGTCGATCCACGAAGGACATTGTGTTTAAGTCCCTGTAAAAGGAGAGGCGCTGGCTGCTTATTTTAAGCAGTTTGGAGAAATCCTCAGTGTCTCCTCGTATGTCAGGCTCGGTTCATGGATCTTCGACATTATGCTGGGCGAACAGGCCTTTGGCGACATTCCCAGCATGTTGGACGTCGATAAAAGAATGCTGCCCGTCATTGTAACGGGCAGGAGACCGACATGCTGGAAATGTGGCAGACCTGGCCATATCGCCTCTGCTTGCGCGGGGGTCCTCACCCTGGACGGACAGCCGGATCCCAAGAAATGCGCATCTATTGCCAAATCCAAAGGCCTCTGTTCCCGCCGCCCCCTTAACCACGTCTGATGAAGGGGATTGGAAGGTTGTTGGCAATGGGAAGAGGAAAGCGAGGCCGGCGGCACGTCCAAACATGCAGCAGAGTGACGATGTCTCCACATCCGACGGCAGTGGGGGTGACGCCTCGGCCCCAGCTCCCAGGACGGATCATTCGCCGTCCACTAAGATCCAGCGGGTCAAGGGGGTGATGGCTGACTTGGAGAAGCAGCTGGCCCAACCAGATCTGACACCACAACCAACACCGATTAAATCAACACCGAGACAATCTACACCACTACCATCACCGAGACCAACATCAGCAAGACCACCAACACCACCACCAAAAACTGTTAACCTCCCATCCTCTGTCCCACCTTCCCCGACCAAAGCAAAGACTCTGCCACCGCCTCCAAGAGCCCGCTCGTCATCCCCCCAAAAGAGGGCCACAACCCCGGTGCACAAGGGGGAGACTCCCCCCCAAAAAGACTTTGCTACATCGGGGAAGAGACTGAGAAGCCCCTCGGAGGATGTCGACGGAAAGAGGCGGAAGGCAAAGCTCACCGATAGCGCACAGAAGGCCAAAGACTTTGGCAGGAGGACAAGTGATCTGAAGGTCCTCCTGGCCATGAAAAAATGCGGGGAGGATGAACTGGAGGATCCAGTGAACTTTCCTCATGCCAAAATGGTCCTCACCGTAGTTCGAGACGGTACAGGATCACGACAGGCGTGGGGCATGATAGAGGAGGCAAAAAAAAGCTTTCCAGGACTCCACACCCATCGTCATTACAGACAATGAGGACCTTTCCAGACTGAAACATTTCTGTACTGGAAGGGCCCCGGTTTTGGTCCACCCATCCTTCTATAGGGCCTTAAAATTAACCTTTCCCTGGGATGTCGGTGGTATATCCCAAGACATGTCCATCAAAACTGAGATGGGCACCGGATCGATGGGAGAAGCAGTCGGCATCCCCACCCAGACTATGTTTCGGGGCGAGGCTCAACCCTAAGGTAAGTGTCTTTCATGGCTCTTTGGTTAGCAACTTTGAATGGCCGAGGCCTGAGGTCGGAGTCTCGTAGGGCGAGACTCTCACGCGAGCTTCAGCGCCTCGGCGTGAATGTGTGTTGTGTGCAAGAAACCCATCTTATTGCTAGCGACTATGAAGATGTGCTGTCGAAGAGGTTCCACCTCTACTCGGCGTATTTTGATAACCGCGCCAGAGGGATCTCTTGGCTAGTCAGCAGGGCCTTGACGGCGACGTGTAACCTTGTGTACGCTGACCCGGAGGGCAGGCTTTGCGTCCTGGATGTCACCATAAAGGGGAAGTCTCTTCGCTTCATCGGAGTTTATGCGCCCAACGACGAGGCGGAGCGGGCTGCCTTTTTTCGGCGGGTCGAGCCTTTTTTGAAGACGTCTCGCCAAGTAGTTTTAGCGGGTGATTGGAACGCCGTCCTTGATCCCGTATTAGATCGTAGCGGGCCTAGATCGGGTAGTAACAACCCGGATGTCAAACCATTTCGCGAATTTATAGACAGATTTGACTTAGTCGATAAGTTCAGAAATGAGCATCCTAACGAGGCAGCATGGACTTGGACCAATAGGGGCGGCCCGAATACAGTAGTTCGTTCGAGCTATATCGACCGGGTTTTAGTAAGGAGAGTCGACGTAGGGCTCTTAGGGTGTCCAAGTTTTCATTCGATAGTTTTCTCGGACCATCGGCTTGTCCGGGTACGAGTAAACTTAGATAAACCTAAGCCTAGATTGAATGGTTACTGGAAGTTTAACACGTCTCTACTCGAGTCGAAAGACTTCCGGGACCAGTTACTACTAACCATACAGAGGGAAATGACGGGGAGTGTGGTTGGGAATAAGTGGTGGGGCCATCTTAAGACTGTCATTAGGTCGTTTGTAGCTGATTATAGCCGTCGGCTCAACAGAGATAGATTAGCAGCGCAAACGGCAGCCGAAGCTAGATTAGAGGGTGCCATCCAATCGGGAGATAGCGTGGAGGTTTCTGGCCTGCTCGCTTATCAAGAAGGACCAAGCTCTGGTAGTCAGATCTAGGCTAAAGAAAATGTCTGCCGAAGCGACAAACATGGTCGCAGAACTGCGGCACGAGGAGGTGCGCAGCGCTTCGGATCGATATTTCCCCAGTGTCACAGCACCGGACGGACGACAAGCGACTACAAACGAAGGCATCTGCGAGGCCTTCCGGTCTTATTTCCGGGACCTCTTCTCCGGAGAACCCGGACTGAGCTCAGCTCAGTTCGACACTTATCTGGCCGACTTTCCTCGTCTCGAGGAGGTCGAAACTGATGTGTGTGAGGGGGCCATCACGGAAGAGGAAGTCTGGGATGCGCTTAAGTTGGCCGGCCGGGACAAGAACCCCGGAATAGATGGACTTCCTTACGAACTGTACTTGAGGCTGTCGCCCGTTTTTGTACCCCTGCTGACACTGATGTTTAACCACTGGCTGAGGAACAGGAATATACCCCAACGCTTCACCAAGGGTGTCATCAAGTTGTTACGCAAGAACAAAAGCGGAGGGGATGGGATAGATAATTTCCGCCCCTTGACTATGCTAAATGCAGATCTCAAGGTTTTGGCGATGGTCTTGGCCAACCGTCTGCAGCTTGTCCTGCCTAGTCTGATTGGCCCCGAACAGACTTGTTCTGTGAAGGGCAGGACTATTCAGGACAACCTTCATATGATACGCCAGATCATAGAAAAAGTCGACTGAGAAGCCGCGCTGATCAATTTGGATCAGTCCAAGGCATTCGATAGGGTGGACCATCATTTCCTCGAGGCTGTTCTCGCGTCTGCTGGCTTTGGGCCGCATTTTCGCTCCTGGATCCGGCTTTTGTACAAGTCTCCCGGGGCTCTGGTCGAGGTAAACGGGGTGAGGTCGGGGCCTTTCACATTGTCTGGCTCCATTCGTCAAGGTTGTCCACTATCGCCTATGCTTTACGTTCTTGCGTTGGAGCCCTTCCTCCGCAAGTTAAAGGCGAATCCGGTCCTTCGCGGAATCTCGATGCCTGGCGCCACCAACGCTGCCAGGTATTCTGCCTATGCCGATGATGTGTCGGTGTTTGTTAAGAGCGCTAACGAAATTCGAGAGGTCGGCAAAGAGATTTGCAGGTATGAGATGGTGGCGGGGGCCAAGATCAACCGCGATAAGTCTGTCGGCTTGCGGTTGGGCGAGTGGGAGGGTGTTCCTCTCCCCGGTCCCTTCAGCTGGACGGACGGGCCCGTCAAGATACTCGGTATCTGGTTCGGACCCGGACTTCAGCTGGACACCAACTGGTCGGAGGTTCTGTGGAGGGTCGAGGAAGCAGTCCGCCTGTGGACTCGAAGGAAACTTTCCTTGAAGGGGAGGGCGGAAGTGTGCATCTCGCACATCTACCCGATTCTTCTTTACCGTCTCTCGGTACTTCCACTCCCGTCTACCAAACGAAAAAAGTTCGTTGAGGCCCTTTTCGACTTCCTTTGGAGAGAAAAGGCGCATCTGGTACGTCGCGAGGTCTTCTCCCTCCATCCTGCAGAGGGCGGTCTAGGCATGCCCAGCGTTGAGAATCGTCAACACACGCTGCGTCTGGGTTTCCTGCAAAGAATGTGCACCGAAAGTGGGGATGACGAAGAGGATGTTTTCTGGAAGGAAGACGCTCGACGAGCCTTCCCATCTCTGGAAAGTGTGCATACGGGAGAGGCGGAGGCAGAACGAGAAGATCAAGACGATTGCCCTTTCTATGAGGAATGTCGAGAAGCGCTGTGCAAACTCTTAGATGTGAAGGATCGCCTCTCTGACACAAGGGCGTTGTCGCAGAAGGCATTATATCGGGTTCTAGTGAGGGTAGAGGCAAAAGACAAACTCCAGGAAGAGCTCGGCCTTACGAACGAGGAGTTTCGCTCCGTATGGCCATGGGCGCCCGGGTTGAAATGTCTCAACAACGACGAGGCATCACTCACCTGGCAGGTGTTGCGAGGGGCTCTCTGGGTCGGCAAGAGGCTTTATGCAGCGGGACTGGTGGCAACACCAACGTGCGTGCACTGCGGCGAGTGGGAGGAGTCCATTGCGCACGCCTTTCTTCACTGTAGTGTCGTAATCCCGCTGTGTAGGCTGATTGAAGGCTACATGGTTCGCATCTTGGGCGGAAAGTTCTTCTTCCTTGATGCTAGCACGGTTTGTTCCAACGTGCTGCCGCCAGTGACAAAGGACCAGCAGTATGTAATCTTGTGTTTGCTTGGCATCATGCGAATGGTTGTGTGGACGACGCGACAGAAGGTCTTTCACGGAGGCGAGAAGTTCTCCTCTTCCCAACTGGTCGCTTTCTTTAAGCATCAGCTTAGAGTCAAGATCAGGGCAGAAAAGGTGCGTCTCTCTTCGCTGAAATTCGGCAAATGTTGGGTGAGAGTTTCGCAATTGGTGCGTGTGAGAGGAGCTAACCTTGAGTGGTTGTTAGACGCGACTTAGGTCCAAGGACATAGGGCCACGCGCCGAAACGTCAGTCAACCCAGACCCGGTTAACGTAAGATAGGCTTTTGACAGACTTTGTCAGAACTAGCTAGAGTATGCAAGTGTTTAGGTTCCCCCTTTGGTCCCACATGTATTTTATACCCCATCCCTTCCCTCCTCTCTAGGTGACAGACCTTCTTGTTCTCTGGCGAGATCAGATATGGACAATATCTGATATTTCTGCCCAGTTAACCAGGATTTCTGCCACATTTTCAACTTTGGGCGTGACCCGATACTAACAATTATTTATTTTTCAGGATTCATTCATTGTATCCCCCGCCCAGCTCTTGTGTAAATAAAATTTTCATGCTAGGATTCTAGTGGAATAATTGAGGCATTTTGGTAATTGTGGTGCGAGTGGTTAGTGCAAATGTGGTATTATGGTGAAAGGCTTATTGTCAGTACGAATGGGTCAATGAGAGAGGCTAGCTAGTTACGAATTAAGACTAGAGATGACCAAACTCTTTCCCCCCACCCCCAAACTCGCCCTTGTGGCACATTTTGTAATTTTTACAAATAAATATTAAGACCAACTTGGACCAAAACTTGACTAAGCTTTGACCAGCCTGGACATGTTATGACCAAAACATTGACTAAGCTTTGACCAGCTTGGACATGTTATGACCAATCTTTGACTAGTGACCCTATGCGGAAACGCTACCAGCTCACTCCTGCAGCTTCCTGCCGTCTCCAGCTCACTTCTGCAGCTACCAGCAGTCTCCAGCTCACTTCTGCAGCTTCCAGCAATCTCTGGCTCACTCCTGCAGAACTTCACTGACGTCCAGCGACCAGTTCCAACCTCCGGATACCGTTCCCCCGGCTCACTCCTGCAGCGTTTCACTGACGTCCAGCGACCAGTTCCAACCTCCGGATACTGTTCCCGAACAAACGACCTCTGTCGCCTTACCACCCACTGTTCACAAATAAAGACACGATTTCCATCGTCTACAGCGGACCATCTGCGTTTGTCATCCTTCTTTGCTATTGCCAACTCCTTGCCTTTGTGTCCCCTTTTTTAGTTGTACGGTCGATTGGCACTCACACCTCTCGACCCACTGCAACAAGCTTACTACAATTCAGCAGACCCGAGTATTTTAAAAGAATTTTGAGATTCTCTGTGTGTATGTGTGTGTGTGTATAAACGTGCCAACCTTTGTAAATACTGACGTCCATACACGGCTTTATAAGAAAAAAGGTTGATGATTATAGTAAATTTAAAATCTATTGGTAATTTTCTAACATTTTCACAACAGGCGTCTTCGGAAGTAAAGTTATAAAGCCAAACTACTTCAAATTCAATAAAATATTAGATGCTTAGAACATTAAAGATTACTGGGTAGTTAAAAAATATACAAAAAGATCTTTACGTACTGTAATTTTATTATTTACCCTTTACATAAATTTTCCAAACATCAGGCTGTCAATAAATGTGTCAATACCCCATGAAAACACTCACCTTCCTGTTAAAAATGCTTTTCTGCGATATTTTAAACTAAAAGTAAGTATTTATCTATATTTCTGAGATTAGGTATTGTAATTATTTACACTATTTACATTGTTCGTACTGTTGTCATCATCTTGGTTGCCACATTCACAACGTTTCAGCCGTTGTATTTTCCTGCCTTCTTCAGGTAATTGGAATTTCGAACTATGCTACAAAAATCTCTTAAGACGGCCAAGCATAGAAATGAATATCATATGAGAATCAGTAATACGGAGTGATAGTGAAAAGCAATAAAATAATAAAAAATGCAGTATGAGCTCTGCTAAAAATTGTAAAACTGAGATTAAGTTTTTGAGTCTAATTCATACACCAAAGTCCTCAAGGACACATGGATAAAAGCGTTGGTTGGAGCGGGTGACTTGACCCAAAGCAAGTTCAGTATCTGGCTACTGCAATGGTGAACAAAAACTTAGTCATCCGGAAGAGGCATGACACGTGGAACTAGAATAATCTACCCCGGTTGACGAAATAAAGGGTTCAATTCGAAATTCTAATCACCTGAAGAAGGCCCGAGCGTACAAAGGCCGAAACATTGTGAATATGGCAACAAAGATGAGGACAACAGTTCGAATATAAACAGCGTATATAAAAGTAAGTAATATGTTTCAAGCTAGATCAGTTAAATTTTAAATCAGCAAATTTTTTTCTCAAATAACTTTTCAGAAAAATATATTTTATTTTTGAAATATTTTTTAATAAAGTGAATCATGTTGCGTTGACAGATTTGTCAATATGGTCAATTTCATCGATTTTAATGATAATCAGAAAAAAATAATTTCACTCCATTTAAATTCGGTTTGAAATACAGCACATTAGAAATATTAAATTTAATCTATTAGATTGCAATTAAAACTAAAATAAGAGTTTCAAGAAAGATTTTTCATTTTTAAAATTCATTTTAAACCTTAGATAAGACTTTTTTTTAAGATACCTTACTTTTGACGGCATGTTCGTAGTTAGCATTAAGGTGATTGGTCTTGTGCGAACCTACTTACGCACTGACATATACATACAAACACAAGATCACCTGTACAATGCCAAATGATCATTGGCTAATAAATCACTAATACATTTTCTACAGGCAATTTACAAATCGCAGTAATGCGACAATTTTGGAATCGCTTTATTTTTAAGTAGTCAAATTTGTGCAGTTTTGGGAGAAATGGCTCACAGAAGCTTCTTTAACTCTCCCTAAAGCTCGCTCGCTGATTGATTGATGCCAACCGATCAGATCGTTTGCACGCGAAGAATAATTTTTCCCACGCAACGAATCGGAGCCTATAGTCGCTTATTTAAGCCAAGATTTTTCTCATCTCAATTAGTGAGACCTGTTAAACGAATCTACGACAGTTGGAACTCCAGTTCTAACCACGCGCCAACCTTCTCACTCACATGCACACCCACATGCTGATGACACATTTGTACACCTTCACTAAAAACTTCTTTTGACACAACAATATTTTTCAACAGTAATATCACAAGAACAATCATATCTTGAAACACTCATGAACATTTATCCAGTGAACTTTAAACCAAATAATTATCTCTCAGTGAACTCTTAAATTGCAGTCAAAGAGAGACAACTCTTGATTAATTCAACCTTTCTTACTTAAATGCATGTTTTCTTTCATATCGTTGTTTGATATTGTACATCTTGTTAATATACATATATTTTATGTACAACAATGTCTTGTGGTTATTCTTTTTGCGTGAGTCCTATTTTCTTATCAAAGTTAAATTAATGTGGTGAAGTACGCTACAGTCTCTTTGTCATTTGCTGCATATCTAAGTTTACTATAGTTAAAGCTGTTTTAGTTTATTGAAATACTGCTTTTTGCTCTTCGTCTGTTTTGTATTTCAGTAGATTCATGTGTTATTAAGCGGTAGAAAACAAAGTTTCGATAATAACTGATGAATTCTACTGTGGTAAATTCACATAATAAAAAGAAGATTCACTTCAATTCTGTTCATGCGTGAGGGGATTGTCAATCATTCACTGCCATATAGAAGATTCGATATTACATAGCTGTCCAACACTTTTCATTTTTTTTCTTGCTATATTTTCGAAATCTAATATATTTTGTCCAGTTAGTGACAAGACATTCCTCGCCCTTCCTTTAAGCTTTTAGATTTCTGTCTCACTTTCCGTTTTCTGTTAATACACTACCCAGATAGTTAAATGTCTGTGCTTGTTGTTGTTAAATATATGTGGTGATCTTGCAATCATGAGAAAAAAACAAACAATTTTCCCATGATTCCTTAGGAAAAAGGAAACCGACCTACTGGCGGGAAATTTAGAGTCATCCTCTTTTTTATTTACCACTCACCAAGAGAGCACGTGGAGTTGTGTCGCTCTAGGAATAAAGATCATAGATAAATTTTACACAAATATCACTTTCTCTTGTTTAATATTACCGTTTAATGATAGACTTATCGCTTACAAATAATTTATTCATTCACCACGCCAAGCAGAACACAAAAACAGAAACATTGGTGGCGGACTTCACCACATTAATTTAACTTTAGATTAGGAAACAGGGCTGACGCAGAAAAGGTTAAGCCAAAGACATTGTTACACATAAACTATGTATTTAACAAGATGTACAATATCAAACAACGATGTGAAAGAAAGCATGCATTTAAGTAAGAAAAGGTTTAAATAAACAAGAGTTGTCTCTCTTTAACTGTTATTTTAGTATTTCAAAGTTCACTGGAAGAATGTTCATGAGAGACTTTTGTAATGATTGTTCTTGAAAGCTATTGCTGTGTAAGAAAAGTTTATGTGAGTGTATACAAGGTATGTTCGGCATGTGAGTGGTGTGTGTGAGTGAGAAATTTGGCACATGGTTTCAACTGTCGTGGATTCGTTTGGCAGCTGAAATCCTACTAATTAGGATTAGAAAATTCTTGTTTAAATAAGTGACCGTAGGCTCCAAATCGCTGCGCGGGAAGAATTATTCTTCACATGCAAACAACCTGATTGGTTGGCATCGACTAATCAGCGAGCGAGCTTTGGGGAGACTTAAGAAAGCTTATGTGATCCGTTTCTCCCAAAAGTGCGTACAATTGATTCCATAAAAATTGAGCGATTACAAAATTGTCGCATTGCTGCGATTTGTAAATTGCCTATAATAATGTAGTGGTGATTAATTAACCAATCATTGCTTGGCGTTGTATGTGATTTGTATTTTCGTATGTATGTATGTTCGTGTGTAATAGATCCGCACGCATTTATTAACAACCACATTACAAGAACTTTTATATATCTAACGAGTTTACCAGAGCTTCACAGGTAGTCACTGGAATGCTCTTCCACTCCTCAATGACGACGTCGCAGAGCTGGCGTATATTTGAGACTCTGCGCACCTCCACCTTCTGCTTGAGGATGGCCCAAAGATGTTCTATTGGGTTCAAGTCTGGAGACATGCTTGGACAGTCCATCACCTTTACCCTCAGCCTCTTCAGTAAAGCAGTGGTTGTCTTGGATGTGTGTTTGGGGTCATTGTCATGCTGGAACACTGCTCTGCGACCCAGTTTCTGGAGGGAGGGGATCATGCTCTGCTGCAGTATTTCACAGTACATGTTGGAGTTCATGTTTCCCTCAATGAAATGTAACTCTCCAATACCTGCAGCACTCATGCAGCCCCAGACCATGACATTCCCACCACCATGCTTGACTGTAGGCATCTACTTATCTTTGTACTCCTCACCTGGTCGCCGCCACACATGCTTAAGGCCATCAGAACCAAACAAATTAAATTTCGTCTCATCAGACCATAGGACATGGTTCTAGTAATCTATGGGCTTTGTTGACATGTCTTCAGCAAACTGTTTGCGGGCTTTCTTGTGTATTGCCTTCAGAAGAGGCTTCCTCCTGGGATGACAGCCATGCACATCAATTTGATGTAGTGTGCAGCGTATGGTCTGAACACTAACAGGCTGAATCCCAATCTCTTTAATCTCTGCAGCAATGTTAACAGCACTCCTACGCCGATCTTTCAAAGAAAGCATTTGGATGACGCTCAGCACATGCGTTCAGCTTCTTTGGACGACCTACCCGAGGTCTGTTCTGAGTGGACCTTGCTCTTTTAAAATGCTGGATGATCTTAGCCACTGTGCTGCAGCTCAGTTTCAGGGTGTTGGCAACCTTCTTGTAGCCTTGGCCATCTTTATGTAGTGCAACAATACGTTTTTTAAGATCCTCAGAGAGTTCTTTGCCATGTGGTGCCATGTTGGAACTTTCAGTGACCGGTAAGAGAGAGTGTTAGAGCTGCACTACAAATTTGAATACACCTGCTCCCCATGAACACATGGGCATAGTTACACTAATGAGTCACATGACATTTTGGAGGGAAAATGAAAAGCAGTACTCAATTTAGACATTTAGGGGTGTAGTTTCTTAGGGGTGTACTCACTTTTTAGGGGTGTAGTTTCTTAGGGGTGTACTCACTTTTGCTGCCAGGGATTTAGATTTTAATGGCTATATCTTGAGTTATTTTGAGGGGAAATGAAATT